CTACTGAATCTTAAAGTTCCTTCTCCTGAGAAACACTCAGTCACCAAGCTGGGTACTTCACGGTGAGGTATCTGCCCGAGTCATCTGCTCGGGCTGTACTTACAGAGCTGCCCATGTGGGAGAGCGCCTCTTCTGCCCGTTCCATGCGGCTTCCCTTCGTGCTCACTGTGAAAGCTCTCGTGATATGGCTGCAGAACTCCACGGAGATGCCACAGCTCTGAAATAAAGTGCTTCCTTTACAACTGCCCTTCTCCAGTTAAAAACAGTAAAAGCAACCACCCCTTTCCCGGGATCTGTGGTTACCAGGGCACCTGGGAGGTAAAGGAGCCCGGAGCACCCCCTCTAACTTACAAGACAAAGCTCCCATCACACCAACTTAAACTGTCCCAGGAAGCTTGTGGAACCCTCCAGGCACAGTTTCCTCCAGCAGGTCTGCCTCTATTAGCGGGAAGCAGCTGAAACCTCTCAAGGTCCCCCCAACCCCCAGCCAGCCAGCACACTGTCATTTCTTTAGCTGGGCTTCACTACCACTCCCCCTGAAGCCACGTTCATTTCGTATCTGAAGAGCAGATGCACTGTGTCTGTTTTCTGTTAATACTTTCTCAAATGTGCACGTATTCAAGACTATTCAAAAGCACCTGGCAACCACATGGAAGGCAAAAGGTCTTGGTCAGAGAATTCCATTGAGAAGGGGCAGTTTTTCTAACTGAAAACTGAACATCATGCTGTCATCAGGCTACATACTTTGGCAAAGCACCCTTCAGAATAATAATTTTTTTTTTTCCGGTACGCAGGCCTCTCACTGCTGTGGCCTCTCCCCTTGCGGAGCAAAGGCTCCGGACGCGCAGGCTCAGCGGCCATGGCTCACGGGCCCAGCCGCTTCGCGGCATGTGGGATCTTTGCGGACCGGGGCATGAACCCGTGTCCCCTGCATCGGCAGGCGGACTCTCAACCACTGTGCCACCAGGGAAGCCTCAGAATAGTAATTTAAAGGCAGAATGCCTAAGCCAGACCATGACCTCATATTTCCATTGCTATACATACCACCCACGTCCAACTCCACCTGCCACTGACCCCACCTGACCATGTGCGCCAAGAGCAGGAGCTGGCCTTGATCTCTCACCCCAAGAAACAATGCACAGCAGTGACATAAGGAGTGAGGGACAAACTGAGTGGACCAGGACTCACCATAACCAAGTTGACCAAAGAAACCGCATTCAAACTGATGCCCCAGAGCCACATGACACCGAACATGTTGACCAAGATCATAGCGATGGTGATGCACATGATCACTGCTGACCACAGCTCACAGCCCAGGAGAACCACGGTCACCAAAAAGATGGCACCCAGGGACACACCGAGGTTAAAGATAGTGTCGTGAATCATGGTCAGGTACTGTTCATAGAAGACGTAGAACACACTGGAGAGGGGGAGAAGGTTCTGTTACAGCTTGTTTTTGCTTCTGGAATCTTTACTCCTCATCCTGCCACAACTGCAAAACGGAAACTACCTTGAGAGACATCCTCACATAAAACCTCCCTGTTTGTGCAAGACTCACTTCCAGCAGTTAAGCTGGACCTCCGACCACTGACACCCAAAGAAGGGCCTCCGAGATGTGTATTTTATATAAGGTTTTTGTTCATGTGCCCAATCCATTCTGCTTTATAGGCATTTACTGACAAAGAATATTCTGTGGTATTTTGGGAAAACAAGCCCTGGTCTACCCTGAGGGCTACCCCCAGGTAAACAGGGTCTTTGCAGGGCCTGAGAAGAAAATGCTTTTTCGGCAAAGTTAACCAGCTCCTCTAAGGGGTCAGGACACCCACTCCAAGAACTCCTTCCCCAGGAAAACAGGCTGTCCTCCTGCCAGGAACAGGTCCAGACTCCCTTCAATGAGATTACAGGGGTTGGGGGGAAAATCACTCGTTTCTCCTACTTTTCTATATTTTCCAAATTCAGTATTTCATAAAATATTTTCTTCATGAGGAAAAAAAAGAAAAACAATAAATGAAAAAAGAGAAACCTCCATAAAGGCACTGTCCCCAGCGATCAGTTGCCGGGCCCTCTCTGTGAAGCTGCTCCCCAGGCGCCGCGACCCGTGCCCCCAGCCTGTTTTGCAGGGTGTGAGCTCCCGCCCCGACACCTCAGTAGGTGCTGCAGATTCTGGCCCAGGTGCCGTTTCCTGAGACAGGCTTCACCTGTGCTCAGGACGGAGCCGGGTTCAGAAGGAAAGCCGAGCGTCGGCCCACTCAGCAAGGGAACCCCAGGGTGTGGGCGCTTCCCCAGGACACCCTCATTTACAAAATCCACAGGTTACCTGTATGGGAACACATGGCGATCACTTCCTTCCAGGCCCATGGTTCTGGTGATGTTGCCGGCGATGAGGCGGGCCTTTTCCATGGCGTCGATGAAGTCAGCGGAGGTCTTGAGCACCGTGTGGTAGGTCATGAAGTACGTGGCTCCAATGCCCGTGCCGTTGCCGAGGATGTTAACTGCCGCGCTGTAAGCGGCGTGTCCCCTGGGAGAAGACAGTGGGATCAAAGGCAACACCTCGTGCCGCACCTGCAGAATCTGAGCATCAAGGCTGAGTGGTGTCACCTGACCCTGGACTCAGGGATCAGACCAGCTGTCAATTTCAGGGACAGGGAAGGCCCTGAAAAGGCGCGATGAAGGTTTAGCTCATTCTTTCCCACACCGGCTTTTCTTTGCTGCTTTGGTTTCTTTGATGCGCAGCCACTACTGTTTCTGTAGCTGGTTCTGCTCACAGCCCAGTGTGTTCTGCTACAGCGTTCGCTCAGCAGTGCTGCGTAACAGGAGGCGCGAATGGACGAGGGCCCTGGAGTCAGACCGCCACGAGGTCGACCTCGGCCCTGGAACCCTGCGCAGAATTACTAAATTTGGGCTGCAGTGTCATCTGCAAAGGGTGTACCACCACCTACTCGTGGGGCTGTGTGGTAAGTCAGTGAAATAGTGTTGGTGAGGTGCCTGGCACGATCCTGGCACACAGGAGGCTCCCTGTCTGTTGCCCTCCTACGAGTTGAATTCATTCTGACTTCTTTTATGTAGCCGAGCATTCAGTCTGCCAGGAGACCAAGCTACAGGGTTCATTTCCTCTTTATTTTTAGGGACAGTCCTCCCACGGTACCTAGTCTAGGTCTCAAAACACAGACGTGAGATGTATGACTGACGGGACTCTGGTCACATTATGTATTCTTATGAAGAACAGGGATATCCAGCGTTTACCTAATGTACACCTGGACACTCACCTTCCTACCAAAACATCCAAATCCGCCCAACTCCAGACTTCAGTCATCTTTGCTATTTCTGGGCCAGAGATCCTCTTTCCACAGTAGCTGGCTGCCTGGCTAGATGGGGGAGTCAGACAGCCCATAACCTCATGTACAAACAGGCTGGCAAGAAGCACAGTGGGGCTAAAAGAATGCAAACCTTTGGAGCTTCCCTGGTGGCGCAGTGGTTAAGAATCCACCTGCCAATGTGGGGGACACGGGTTCGAGCCCTGGTCCGGGAAGATCCCACATGCTGCAGAGCAACTAAGCCCGTGGGCCACAACTACTGAAGCCTGCCTGCCTGGAGCCCATGCACCGCAACAAGAGAAACCACCGCAATGAGAGGCCCAAGCACCACAACGAAGAGCAGCCCCCGCTCGCCACAACTAGAGAAAGCCCGCGCCCAGCAACAAAGACCCAATGCAGCCAAAAATAAATAAATAAATTAAAAAAAAAAAAAGAGAATCTAAACCTTCATCCCGGGTGATGTCACCAGAGCAGAGCTGCAGTGCTCCATATGCCCCAGACACAACTGGATAAACCCTTTCACATCCTGAATCGCCTGCATCCCTCCCCACAATCTGCCCTGCCGGTGGTCTGCACAGGACTGTGTCCTTCATGCCGCCAGGAGGGGAGTGTGAGACAGAATGCTCAGGCCAGGATGGAATCGGGTCAGAATGAGGAGGAGTTTTCTTTTTTTTTTTTTTTTAAACATCTTTACTGGAGTATAACTGCTTTACAATGTTGTGTTAGTTTCTGCTGTATAACAAAGTGAATCAGCTATACATATACATATATCCCCATATCTCTTCCCTCTTGCATCTCCCTCCCACCCTCCCTATCCCACCCCTCTAGTGGGACACAAAGCACCGAGCTGATCTCCCTGTGCTATGCAGCTGCTTCCCACTAGCTATCCGTTTTACATTTGGTCGTGTACATATGTCCATGCCACTCTCTCACTTCATCCCAGCTTACCCTTCCCCCTCCCCGGGTCCTCAAGTCCATTCTCTACATCTGTGTCTTTATTCCTATCCTGCCCCTAAGTTCTCCATAACCATTTTCTTTTAAGATGAGGAGTTTTCTTTAAAGGCATTTTGGTTTCTCTGCAGGACAGGGTGGGGAGTGGCAGAGAAGATGACCCTCCCGCCCACCATTCCCACCCCAGCCCTCCCTAGCTTCCCAGTGCAAATTTAAAGGGGAAGCGGCCACACAGCTCAATGGGTTCCATGTCACTTACCCTTTGCCACACTTGGGGTTCGGGTTATCGGAGAGGAACATGGGCAGGAACCTCATGAAGTCTGCGCCCTGAGGCCTCTGCTTGCCCTCTGGAGTCAGAGGCCGGCAGCGGACGCAGGCAGGGTCAACCACTGTGCAAACAGGTTGGGGGAGCCACGGTGAGAAGGATGGGTCTCCATATTAAAACATTTAAAAATAATGATAAAGAAGTGACGGGAATTCTTTTCCTGAATCCTTCTGTTTATCCAAAAACTTCAAACACATGGTTTTCACAGTCAAACTTGAGGTCCCATCTTCATCTAACACAGGCTGTACAAATGTTCTTCCCTGAATCAGGTTTCCTGCTTTAAGGACAACCTCAGTATGTTATTATCAGAGCCCAGGATGTCCATGTTTTTATCAAGAAAATCCTAGGACAGCCTCAACACTTTTACAAAACCATATGGCAATAGTGATAAACAAAGAAAAGCACTCCCATGAGAAGCTACGGCCAGATACCAATCAAGAGAGACCAACAGTATAGTACTGTCGGGAAAAGATGACAAACCTGAAAACCAGGGTCCCCTGACCTGGGCCTTGTTCAGCCTGCAGCCCCATCGGGGGCTGGAAAGGGGACAACAAGGTATCTCCAGAGTGAACAATGGAGGAAGGGGATGATGCCAAGGGGAATGAGATGCAGCAATGGCAGACAAACAGGTGGATGTGGAGGTAAAATGCAAATGATTTTTTAATTATAATGCTAAAGTTCTTCAGAAAAGAGGGAAAGATCTGGAAAAGGATCAAGTACCCGATGCATTGCAGAACCAATCCGTGCTGTTGTAGAGCCTACAGCAAGACGACTGTGGTTTGACCCAGTCAAAATAATCGTCAATCCAGGACGAGGGAGCAAAGCCTATCCGGGTACTAGAGAAAAGGAGAGAAAGGGTTACTGATGCCCCCACAAGGAGGAAGTCTTCAGTTTTAGTTCTTTTTCTTGAAATACAAAACTTCCTTTGCTAGACCTTTTAATGCCACCCAGTCAGAAGACAAACCACATTAGTGCTTAATGGGAAAAGCTTCAGAATATGAGGTGGTAAATTTGCCCTTTAAAAGGTTTTGCTCAGGTAAAGCTAGATTCAACCCACATTTTGCAAGACAGATTCTCCAGGAAAAGCTATCTTTAGAGAGAGGTTTCAGGCCGAGGTCCCAGGCCAGGAGCCTGTCCGCGGCTGGGGTACTGACTAGTTGTCCAGCTGGGCGGCGGTGAAGATCTGCTGCACCAGCGAGTCGTTATTGCAGCCCAGGCCCCCGCACACCATGTTCTGCCCTTTCAGAGAAACGTAGTCGTGCCCTCCCTTCACAACAAAGTACACGGGCGGGCCCGCGTGCAGGTAGCGACTGAGGGACTGGAAATAATCCGTCATGTAGGAGTCCTGAGAGAGAGAGAGAGAGGACAACAGTACACAGCGTGAACGTCCTGTGCAAGCGAGAGGGGGGCTCCCGGCCGAAACGCCTCGAGCCCAGGTTCCTGACTCCCTCCATAGCCAGCGCCCCCTCCCCACCCTGGGCCCAGGGGCTTTTCCAGTTGGTCCCACCGTCAGGAGGGCACCTCATGAGGTTAAGACCGGCTGCTCACGTTCTGCAGCCATGCCCAAGGCCTGTGAGCTCAGAAGGCCCGCGCCTCACAGGCAGAGCTCTGGCGAGGTTCCTGCGATGTGCGAGAGCCTGTCAGCACCCACGTTTAGAAGCGGACATCAGCTGAACCACCCACGTGAGTATTTTGAAAAATACATTCACCATGGGCTAAATGAGTTAGAATAAAAAAGAAAGCGTCTTACATCTGGCATTGACAGAGACTGATCCAAGCCGATTTCTACTTTGTTCAGGACTGCGATACTGAATGACAGAATACCCACAAATACCGCTACCTGGAATGTGAAGTGAGTTACAGAGTTAGAATTATCATGATTAAAAACATAAATCATTTATTTATCTATTTATTTATTTTATTTATTTATGGCTGCACTGGGTCTTAGTTGCAGCATGCATGCAGGATTTGGTTCCCCGACGAGGGATTGAACCCGGGCCCCCTGCACTGGGAGTGCTGGGTCCTACCCACTGGACCACCAGGGGACTCCCTAAATCAAATCTTAAACACAATAAACAGGACCTTTATAAATGAAAAGCAAGTTTAAATGACACGCTAAGGAAACAAGGAGTCTGGGACAGTAGCCGAGGGTCATGGTCTCAATAGTCAAGCCACCTGGGTTCAAATCCTGGCTCTGCCACTTACAAGCTGAGTGACCCTGGAGAAGTCACTTAACCTCTCTTAGCTTCTATTTCCTCCTCAATAAAATAGGAAAAATAAGACTTGTAACATCAGATAATTTTGTGGATTAAATGAGAAAATTCTAGGGATAATCCAGAATTTAGCGTAGTACCCGGTTCTGAGCACAATACCAGATATTAAGTGTTCAATAAATGTTAGGTGTTACTATTACTTTTTTTTTTTTTTTTTTGCAGTACGCGGGCCTCTCACCGTTGTGACCTCTCCCATTGCGGAGCACAGGCTCAGGATGCACAGGCCCAGCGGCCACGGCTCACGGGCCCAGCCGCTCTGCGGCATGTGGAATCCTCCCGGACCGGGGCACGAACCCGTGTCCCCCGCATTGGCAGGCGGACTCTCAACCACTGTGCCACCAGGGAAGCCCACTATTACTTTTACTGGAATGAATTTACATTCTTTTATTGGAGATGTGATAGATTACAGCCGTTGGCTATATCCAGTGTGTAAACTGTACTACAAAACGCTCTTGCATGGTTACTGGGGATGAGGGACAGTGCAGGGGAGGGAGGTGGGTGACACTGGGTGAAGGTGCGGGACGAGGGTGATGGAACAGATCTATATCTTGGTGCTTACATGAATCTGCACATGTGATAAACTGACACAGAACTGGACACATACATTGTGCCAATGTCGAACTCTTGGTTTTGATATTGAACTACAATTATGTAAGACCTTGGGAGGAAACCGGCAAAGGGCAGCTGGGTCCTTCTCTGCACTACCTCTGTTACTTTCTATGAATCTGTAATTATTTAAAAACAAAACAACCAATTTAAGACAGAAACTCTTGCTTATATTGCCTGCTAAAAATATTTTATATATTTGCTTCTGCATTCTTGTGTGTACACACACACACACACACACACACACACACACTTAACAGCTGTCAGAATCCTTCCCAAGCACTCCGATTTCTTAGAAGGCATGTGACAACTTTGTCTGGGGAGAAAAAACACAGACAGGCTCCTACCACAATGGGCCGCATCCAGTCCTTAAGCAGAAGTGGAGCATAGGCGTCTCTGAAGAAGCGAAATAAGCAGCTCTCCGAGGCCTGGATGCCTGCTCTGTCTGCCGCACCCCCGACACAGCAGAGGACATCCAGCCGGTTCTTCTGGGGGGATGAAGAGGAACAGAGGTCACCCTCCAGCCGCCTCATCTAGATTCTAGACTCAAATGAAACAGGCTGCACGCCTGATGACAACTTACCTCTTGCCGCTTAATGTCTAACCCAAAGAGACTCACAAAACAGGTAATCTGAAGGAGGAAGTCAATGAGGACTGCCAACCCCGCAAAGAGAGAGAAGGTGTGCACAGCCGGCATCACGGACAGGCCTCCTGTAGGGAGAAGAGAGCAGCCACATCCTTCCCAGCTGAGGGCTCAGCAGGCCTCACAGGCACGTGCACGTATGAACACGCGGCACCAGAGCAGGCCAATCCCACAGGAAGAATCCCCCCAGTCCTCCCACCCAAAGGCACTCTGTGCAGTCTGCAGGTGTCACACCAGAACCACCTGGGGAGGTTAAAATGTACGTTCCAGGGACCGGGCCCCATCCTACTTTATCAAGACAATGGGAATTCAACCCCAATTCTACTGTTCAGAATTCTATGATCCCAGCTCTATAATTTAACAAGCTCTCCAAGCAAATGCATGCACTTTCACATTTGAGATCCATTAACACAGGCCATTTCTTATAGTACCTGCCACGCTTTAGTCCACAAGAGGGATGGTATTTCCCATCTGCTATTATATCATCCAGTCAGTCTCTCGGTTTAGTTACAAATGAGGATGCTCCAAGCGTCCTCCAGGCTAAGACTCAGAAGCTGAAAACTGGCTGCCCATGGGCCAGATATATATAAACCCATTTTAGAATTTAAAAACAGTTTTTGAAAAATAAATAGCCAATATTTAACAATGAGACTCACGGCGTCACTTGAGAGAAAAAAAATCTAGATTCACAGCATCGCTTGAGAAAAAAATTGGACCTGGCAGCACTGGGCCAGCAACACATAGATGCCTCTTGCAGATGGGACCCCAGACTCTGGGTGCCACGGTCCCCACTGCTCCTCCTGTCCCCCCAAAGTCACTCCAACCTTGAGGCCCAAGGTCAGCTGCTATATCACCAACACACTTGCACTGGTTTTTTTTTTTATAATAGAAAAAGAGGAAGTAACTGTTTTGCATCTGTATCCATAAAGAGAAACCACAAGAGCCACAGGTTTGTTTCACAGTGCACTGCTTCGTGGAAATGGGGGATGATATATGCTAACGGTGTGTCTGTGTCCAAAGACCACACCTGCGATGTCCCTCCCATGGCCCCTTGTAAGATGACCTGGTGTCCCCTGCAGGCATTTCCATTGGGACCCACGGATCGTGTGTCTTCCCTGGACTTAATGGGCGATTCTAATCAGCGTTCTCTGCAGAGGATGTGATCAGTTTTCTCTTACTACACATGCCAGACATGGGGTGGGCAGTGCCCTGCTAATAAGACTACCGATTTCTCCACATGAAAGAATACAGAAGTGCTGGGTTTTGTGCCAGCTTATTCTGGCTCCTTGTATTTAGGGAAGACTGAAGAACTTCTGCTCATTGACGAGGCTGCTTCCCAGTGAAATGTGTGTGCAGAGGCGGGGAGACTGCCTTTCGGAACAGTGGCAGACACCTTGCAAGCTAACGCCTGTGATTTTGGAGTTGCTGCTGAGAGTGCTGTGACGGGAAGGACTCTGTGGCTGTCCTTCAAGAGTGCTATTTTCAAACCCCAGCACTTGCCATGGGTGCCCTAAATGGGCAGGGGCAGGAGTCCTAGGTATCTGAACCCCAACATCAACACCGTCCTGAAACAATGTGAGAAGAAAGACACTTGCTGGAAATTCCCTGGTGGTCCAGTGGTTAGGAGGCCGTGTTTCCACTGCGGGGGGCCACAGGTTGGGGAGCGGGTCCGATCCCTGGTGGGGGAACTAGGATCCTGCATGCCGCATGGTGTGGCCAAAATTTTGAGAAATTAAAAATAAATAAATAAATAATGTAGTTTAAAAAAAAAAGAAGACACTTGCTAATGGCACCCGAGATACTGCCACCAATTTTTCTCGTGGTCCACTCTGATACTTTCCAATCACAGAACAAAACTTAAAAAAGAACGCAAAGGGTCATATACTGATACACCCAGGCTCAGCAAACCTCAGGGTTGGCAGATTCAAAGAGTAATTACCTAAGAAAAATGCTACCGTCTCTGAAAAGGACGACAGGAAAATACTTGGAGCCACTTCTCCCAGGACCCGGCCCACCTGCTGGTCCAGCGTCTCCCCTTGGAGACGTTCATCTCTCTTAAAAATAAAAAAAAAAAAGTTAAACACGCGACATTAAAGTTTCTCGATTACAATGCCACCTCTTTGCTTCTTTGGTGCTTTGTGTCAACCTGATGGTAAAAAATAATGATTAGGGCTTCCCTGGTGGTGCAGTGGTTGAGACTCTGCCTGCTAATGCAGGGGACACGGGTTCAAGCCCTGGTCTGGGAGGATCCCACATGCCGCAGAGCAACTAGGCCCGTGAGCCACAACTACTGAGCCTGCGCGTCTGGAGCCTGTGCTCCGCAACAAGAGAGGCCGTGATAGTGAGAGGCCCGCGCACCGCGATGAAGAGTGGCCCCCACTTGCCACAACTAGAGAAAGCCCTCGCACAGAAACGAAGACCCAACACAGCAAAAATAAATACATTAATTAATAAATTCCTACCCCAACATCTAAAAAAAAAAAATGATTAGCAGCATCTACTTGTGAACTTTATACAATAAAGCGGTGAGGACCCCAAACTTCTCACGTTGATTCATTTGGGATATTTCTGAAGCCCGGAGCCAGGTAACAGGTGAAAATCTAAAGGAAGGATTGAATCAGGTTATCAGGAAAATACAAGCAACGCAGGCTGCAGGTGGCTGGACCTTTAAATAACACTCCTACATGCCACTGGGTCTCTGCCCAGGTAAGCGCTACAGGACAAGGGATCCTGGGAGAACCAACGGATTGACGTCATTTTTTACATCAGTGAGTCCTGTGTTGACCTTTTGCCTTTTAGTGGCACCTCTGGCAAATCCCTCATTCTTCTACACTATATTGAGAATCATTTTAATAGCTGTTGTGCCCAAAATATTTTCTACAGGCGTGTTAGCCCTTTTTGCATACATGTTGCACATATTTTAAAACCAAATTCTCACTTTATATCTATGCCACCAACCAAAGAGAATGTTGGTCTTAATCTTCTTGGTCTCAAAATGTCCAGAACAAGTTACAGGCACCAATAAGCAACACAGAGGAACGGAAACGAAGTCTCCACGTGTCACACTCAAATACTCCGCATGGAGCTCAACAGCCGTATGTGGAGCCTGGTACTTGGTCAGACCCTGTGAGACTCTGAAATGCACCTGGTAGGTCTGGACCAGAATGAAGATGTTGTCCACTCCCACAGCCAGCACCAGGAACGGGATGACTTCTATCACAATGAGGGTGAAGGGGATCCCAATGTAGCTGAAGATGCCCAAGGAGCACGCCACCGAGCTCAGCACGATCAGGATACCCGCGATGCCCAGGGAGATTTTCGAATCCACCTGGAGATGCCACAAAGACATAAATCCTCATTTAGGGTGTTTTTTGTCCGTTCCTAAAAGGTCCTCATTTTCACCTCTTTACCTGGATATTGCCCATCTAGTTTTAAAAGTACAGTTCCCAGTTTGAGAGGAGATATGAAAAGTTGTCTAGGTCTTCCCTAGCAACATATTTTATCAGCCTACATTCTTAGGTGATGGCAAGTTAGAAAAAAAACTGGATTACGTGAGATAAACTTTAAGTTGAAGATAAGAAATACTGGAACTGAAGAAAACAGATGCCGGAAGCAGGAAATGTGACAAACAAGTAAAACACAGGACAATTTAAGGGAGTTTTGAACATAATGAATTAGGATTAAGCAGAGGCAAAAACATGCCATCACGCTGTGTACTGTCATTTCCCTCTAACACACACACACATGCACACACACACCTACACACCCCACTTACCAGAAACCTGCTACAGCTTTTGATATGCCCCAAGGCTATGGAAATATATAAAAACATGATGCCATAGCTGATTAGAACAGTGAAGATATCACTTTGACTTTCACGGTTTACTTCATCTTCAATACTTCGTTCAGCCTTAAAAGAAACGGTCAGATTTGGATTCTTGTAGTTCTTCACAAAATTAATAAACCTAAAAGGGTAAAAAGCAAAATTGTGTATTTTTAGTTAAAACTTAGTGACAACTAAGTAAGGAACTTCTTTGTAACTTCTACGACACAAAAGCCACACTTAACCCTTATACCTCATTAGGACCTTCTACACTGGCAAGTAGAGGACAGGACACTTCCAGATTACGAAGTTCCAGACACGCTGAGCTTTCCAGTGTTCAAAACAGGTTTGGAACAAGTTTAAAAACTGCTTCGTGGTCTCACTTCTTTTTCACTAAAAATGATTTCTAATGAAGTATATTATACTACAGACATATGCTCAGGGAACAAAAAATTTTAAAGTTGATACAGATGCAGTGCAATCCCTAGCAGAATCCCAGCTGACTTCTTTGTAGAAAGACAAGCTGTTCTAAAATTCACATGGAATTGCGAGGGGCCCAGAATAGCCCAAATCTTCTTTTTCAAGAAGAACAAAGTAGGAAGATTCACACTTCCCAATTTCAAACTTACTACAAACCGACAGTAATCAAGACAGTGGGGTTACCAGCACAAGGCAAGGACAGGCATACAGATCAAAGGATCAGAACTAAGAGTCCAGAAATATGCCATGTATCTGCCTTCACCTAATTTTCAATAAAGGTGGCAAGGCTATTAACGGGGGAAAGTATATCTTTTGAACAAATGGTCTGGGGCAACTGGAGAGCCATATACCAATAAATGCAGTTGGACCCTTACCTCACACCATGTATAAAGATTAACTCTTAACTCAATGGATAAAAGACCTTTTAAATTTAAGAGCTAAAACTATAAAACTCTCAGAAGAACACATAGGTGTAAATTTCCAGGTCCTTGGGTTAGGCAATGGTTTCTTGGCTATGACACCAAAAGTATGAATAACAAAAGAGAAGACACATAAATTGGACTTTACTGAAATTAAAAACTTCTGTGTTTCAGAGGATACCATCAAGAAAGGCAAAAACACAGACTGGAGAATGGGAGAAAATATCTGCAAATCATACATCTGATAAGGGACTTGTAGTATATATAGCAATTCTTATAATTCGATAATAAAAATACAAATAACCCAGTCAAATAAATGGGCAAAGGATATGAATAAACATTTTTCCAAAGAAGTTATACAAGTCAGTGCATGAAAAGATGCTCAAATTCACTAGTCATCAGGGAAATGGAAAGCAAAACTGCAATGAGGGAATTCCCTGGCGGTCCAGTGCTTAGGACTTGATGCTTTCACTGCCGTGGCCCGGTTCAAGCCCTGGCTGGGGAACTAAGATCCCACAAGCTGTGCAGTGTGGCCGAAAAAACAAAATAAAACAAAAAAACTGCAATGAGATACCACTTCACACCCACTAGGATAGCTAGAATCAAAAAGTCAAATAATAACAAGTGTTGGTGAGGTGTGGAGAATCTGAAACCTCCATACACTGCTGGGGGGAATGTAAAATGGTGCAGTCACTTTTTTTTTTGGCTGCGCCCCACAGCATGTGGGATCTTAGTTCCCCAACCTGTGGAAGCAGAGCCTTAACCACTGGACCGCCAGGGAAGTCCCATCGGTGCAGTCGCTTTGGAAAAACGTCTGCCAGTTCCTCAGAGCTACCGTATGATCCAGCAATTCTACTCCTAGATATATACCAACCAAGAGAAATGAAAACATGTTCACACAAAAACTTGTATATGAATGTTTGTAGTATTATTCCTAATAGCAAAAAGGTAGAGACAGCTCAAATGTTCATCAACTGATGAATGGATAAACAAAACGTGGTGTATCCATAGGATGGGATATTCTTCAGCCATAAAAAGGAATGAAGTACTGACACATGCTACCACTTGGATGAACCCTGAAAACATTATTCTAACTGGAAGAAGCCAGACCCAAAAGTCCACGTGCATGATCCCATTCATATAAAAGTCTGGAATAGGAAAATCTAGAGACAGAGTAGATTGGTGGCTGTGTAGGGCTGGGTGTTAGGAGGGTGACCAATAAAGGAGATGGGATTTCTTTCTGTGGTAAAGAAAATGTTCTAAAATTGACCATGGTGATGTTTGCACACATCTGTGAATATACTAAAAGCTACTGAATTGTACACTTTAAACGGGTGAACTGTATGGTATATGAATTATATCCCAACAAAGCTGTTCAGAGTCCCTGTCCTCCTCGGTCCCCTCTTCCCATTCTCTAGAGGTTATACCACAGCTAACCAGTTCCCAGGTCATTTGTTTGATATCTTTTCTAGGCGTGGATGGCATGCATAGCATATATTTGTCCAAACATGCTGACTGCAGTTTTTATTCACTATCTTGAACCATTTATTTATCTCACCATCGTTAATGACGAAATAATATTCTACTGTACCTCTCCCTACTAATATACACTCAGCTTGCTCAGGTTCTGCTGTCAGAAAATAATGCAAGGAACATTTCTGCATAGACACTTTTGCATTCTTGTCGCAGGGATATGTATTAAAAGAATGTTTATAGGTAAATTTATTAATAGATTTTTTTTTCATACCACCACCAGTACCAAGTGAAAAAAATGGCATAACTTAGATCTACTGTTGGTTAATGTAGTTGAACTAATTGTAAATGCTTTCTGCTACGGTCCACCTTCCCACAGAAAGAACAGCTTGTTTAGACCCTGTGAGCAACTCACTCTCTTTCCCAGGCCTGGGCCCTCTGGAGCTTCTCTGTATCGTTACAGTAATTATTGACAGGAAAGGTAATCACAAGGGCTGTGGCGTTATTGTAGTTTTCATCTAGAAAAGAAAAAGGTGACATCAAAAAGCAGATTACAAGCATGCAGAAAACTAGATCAATACGAGGGGAAAATCACAAGCCAGTTAGGTGCCTGGTTTCTCATGGGGCTGAAGCCTATACAAACCTGAGCTCGAGGAACACAACAGGAGATCTGGTGCCTGTGTAGTTCAGCTAGTGAAGAAAAAGGACCCTCATGTGGAAGCAGGCACAGTTGTCATTCATATCATCATTACTACACGGCACGTGCATGGTGACAATTCCAAACAGAGCGGAAAGGTGTTCAGGGAAAAGCCTCTCTCCTCCCTCAGTCCCCGTCTGTGTCTCAGCTCTGCTCCCCACACCACGGCACTGTGACTCCCTCCAGCCACGGTCCACGTGCATAAGCACAGTCTCCCCTTCCCTCCTTGTTTACACAAGCAGTGACACACTCTTCTGCAAATGCTGCTTTTAACCTCATATCCTGAGAACGCTCTGTTTTAGTACACAGAGAGCGTCCTTATTCTTTTTTCTGCTGTATGATATTTCCTAGTATAATTTAACCAATCTCCAGTTGATGGCTATCTTTGCAAATTTTTTTGGTATTATATACAGAATTACTACAAAGAATAACCTGATATTTCCAACATGTACAATGTAATTCATAGAATCAATTCTTATAAGTACAATCACAGAATCAAAAAATATGTGCATTTCTAATTTTGACAGATGCCCCCCAACTGCCCTCCAAAGAGGCCTCCTGTTTTTCATTTCTTTCTTCAACAAAATATTTACTGAGACCTACTTTGTGCCAGACATTATCTTAGAGACTATGGATACATCAGTGAGCAAAGGAGATAAAAATCTCGGTCTTCCTGGAGCTTATATTCCAGTAACCATTTATACTTCCACCAACAATGTGGTTTCCCCACATTCATCCACAAAAGGTTTTATCGAACACTTAGATCTTTGCTAATCTCTTATGTAAAAGATTGAAGTGAGAGGCATTTCACTAATTTGGAGTGAGGTTCAGCATTTTCCCCCATATAACTGAAAGCCACTTGTACTTCTTCTTTTGTTAACACTCATATGGCTTCTGCCCACTTCTCCTTTGGGTGGCTGACCTCTCTTTTCCCCAAGAGCTTTCCACATATTAAGGAAATGCTGTCTGTTATGTACACTAACTTTTTGTTTTCTCCAGTTTGCTGTTTGTTTTTTAAACTTTGTTTGTTCTCTACACAGGAATTTTAAATTCTCATGCAGTCAAATTCATCAGTGTTTCCTTCTGTGGCTTCTGCACTGTGTGTCCTGCTTAGAAATGCCTTCTCCATTTAAAAATTATTTTAAAAAATTCATCCTGCATTCTCTTCTAGTACTTTAATAGTCTCACTTCTTATATTGTACTCTTCGTTCCATTGGAATTTACTCTGGTGGAAGGAATAAGGTAGAGAACAAATTTAATCTTGATGGCTGTGGCTACCCAGCTGGTGACACCATCTTTTCCCCACTGATTAGAAACCACATTGTGTTACATAAGGCAGAGTAAAATTTAAATACAGCTCACAACTTCTCCCTTCCCACTGGATGAGAACATCTGGTTTCTTCATTAGGCTGGAGAAAAACCTTTAGGCTGCCTGTCATTAGGCTTCAGATGTCAAAGCTGTCACATGATTCATTACCCCATCATACCTAATATAATCTGCTCCAAGGCGCTGCAGGAACCAGCAAAGAGCAAACCAACTGCCTCTCCCACTATAAAAGTGTTTGAATTCTTAGCCAACTGGTTTAGAAGGAAAAAATCTATCCACTTTGTTTCTTTCCCCCCATCTCACATATTATCTCTCCCCCATTACAGATGTTCTTAACCAGACGGCTACAGACTCCACAGGGGCTCTCTCAACGAGTTTCTTGAACTCCCTGAAACTGAGCAACATATTACATGGATGTACACAATGCCATTACTCTGGGAAAACGTCCTTAGCTGTCGACAGCTTTCCCAAGGGTAACCTAAAAATGGCTAACACCACTTCATTCAAATGCACAATAAAACCCAAGGCCAAAGGAGATACTATATTTGGGACCCAATATACTGGGTAAATAATAAGAGCACTCGATTGATGAAATCTTTGTAATTACCACTTGACTGTTAATGACAGAACCAAGACTACCTTATCTAGCAGGAAAAGTAAAAGCTTCTCTCACCATCATAGCCTCCTAACACAAGCCACGGGAACACTGGTCCACCAAAGGTCCCCAGGCAAGGATCGTGGAGCAAACTGGTGTCATTCAGGGAGGCGGGAGCCCTGCCAAGAATTCAGAAAACACCACCCAATTAGAACAAACTTAAGACGTCACAGAGACCTAACTGTTTACGCAGCAGTCATGAGGCGGATTAAGAATGTGGGCCTGAGCTTGGTTCCTTGGATGAATAATAACAGTTCAGTAGTTGCTTTTGGGAGCTCAGAATCACTGAGAGGCAGGCACATACAGTGCAATGTGGTTGATGTCACCTGGTGCACAGAGGAGGGGGCCGCTAATACGTGGGGAAAACGGCCACCATGAAGAAAAGCACCGTACAGGCCAGGCCAGGTCTCTAAGGCTGAGGCGGGATTCACCTGGGAAGGAAGAAGGGAGGGCTTCCACACACCACACTGGCGGGAAGAGAAGAGCGTGAGGACAGGTACAAGAAAGGACAGAGTGGACGGTGGCCTGAGGGACCACAGTAAGTCCTGGGTCCAGAGCATGGGATACCCATGAAGGGGGGCCTCCCAGGCAGGGGGTGGGGCTAGGAAGGAAGAGGGAAGCAGTGGAAAAAAGGGGTAGGCGCCACGCTAAGCAGTTTGGATTTTTATCCGGTAGGCACTAGGGAACAATCAGATTTGGGGAAAAGGGAGGTCATGAGCTGTTTGACAAAGATAACTCGGGTGGCAAAGCGGAAGGAGGTCTGGAAGTAGGAAAGAAAGAAGCAGGGAGACCAGGCCAGGGACGCCAGCAGTGCAGGAGAGACAGACAACCGGTGACAGGGAACCAGCATTTCAGCACAGAAGTGAGGCGGACGCTGGGCACATGTGAAGGTCCTCGTATATAATGTGAACCATCGCCCTTCAGCGCTGAGGGACAAGGGATGGGCTCAGGTCCTGGAGGTCAGGTCACTGCTGGGGGCGAACAGCAGGGCTGCAGGGCTGCACAGAAGCTGAGTCCTGTCAACCCACACATGTGGGGCTCTGCCGCCACAATGCGGGCTTGAGGGCTCATGCTGAGGTTAAAACCCACAAGAGCTACGTGAGGAAGAGTCCAGGCATCCCGTAAGCAGTAGGTGTTGATGCCATCACGTGATGCGGGGGGGAAGCAGGAGGTCTGTGCTTGGTTCTGGGCCAGCCGGGCTCCTGCAGGGCCTGCATGCCCCCAGGGGGAACAGCCCAGGGAAAGGTGGAGGGTGAGGAGGGAGCTGAGAGCTGGGGACGCAAAAGCGGAACCACAGACAACACACACCCCTGCCGCGCAGGAGAGGAGGTGCTCACAGTGGTGTTTCCACACCTGTGTGAACCACGCTCCCCTCGGGCAAAACACCCATCTTATGCGTCTCCCCTGCGGCCAAAGTTCTGTTGATTTTTTATTTTGTAAAACAGAGAGAAAATAACATTTTTCTTTACATATTAAAGTTAAATAATACTGAACCTTTTTTTCCAATTGCCCGTGGCTGCCCTGTACCACTTGTCCTTCGGAGAACACTGCTTTGGGTACACGGGCTACACTTATTGTTTCACGGGCTTGTGTTTATAGATGTGACATCCTGAAGAGAGTAAACACAGCCCAACCATCTAAAGTCAGTCATATTCCAGTAACAAAAAGAGACGGAACTTAAGGTCACCAAACCAGGCCAGAAGCTAGAGCAGTTGGCTGGCAAGATGTGGTTAATTGAGCAGCACGTTCACAGGTGACAAGGAATAATTTCTCTGCTTCCATCATGAAGAAACAGCTAGGGCTTCCCTGGTGGCACAGTGGTTGAGAGTCCGCCTGCCGATGCAGGGGACACGGG